ATTTCCCCAGCGCTTCACGGCGATTCTAAGCAACGCCACGCAAAGCCAAGTGATGCAAAGCGATGCCAATCCATGCGAAGCAGTGCCACGCAAGGCCAAGCAATGCCAAGCAGTGCCAATGCATTCGAAGGAATGCCAAGCAATGCCAAGCAACGCGAAGCAGTGCCAAGCAACGCCAAGCAGTGCAAAGCAATGCCAGGCAATGCCAGGCAATGCCTCCTCCTCCTCCTCCTTGCCTCCTCCTCCTCCTCCTCCTCCTCCTCCTCCTCCTCCTCCTCCTCCTCCTCCTCCTCCTCCTCCACAGCTGTCATCCCGCCTCCTCCTCCTTCTCCTCCGTCTCCTCCTCCTCCTCCTCCTCCTCCTCCTCCACAAGCAACGCCAAACGAGGCGCCCACGCCCCCCATAGCGAATCCGTAGGCTCCCCGGCGAGGTGGGCCTGCCAGACCCCCAACGGCGACGCATGGGCGATCGAGGGTCGATGCATCCCCCTTTTTTCGGCGGCGCGCTCAGGGGCTCAGGAGGAGGAGGAGGAGGAGGAGGAGGAGGAGGAGGAGGAGGAGGAGGAGGAGGAGGAGGAGAGGAGGAGGGGGGAGGGGGAGGAGGAGGGAGGAGGAGGAGGAGGAGGGGGGGGAGGAGGAGGAGGAGGAGGAGGAGGGGGAGGAGGAGGAGGAGGAGGAGGAGGCGGCGGGGCTTCTCAGGAACCCTCCGGCCTTCTGAGAAGCCGTCTCAGCCTTCGGAGAAGGCTCAGAAACTTCTCGGAAGATCCGAGGCCTCCCGAGCCTTCTGAGGAGGCCCGCCCCCTCTTGGACGCCTGGTGGTTTTTGGGTCATAGCTCGGCTCTCCAGTGCCCTGAGGCGCCCGAGAACCTCGAACCTCGCACCTCGAACTTCGCCCCCGGGCTCGCGGCCGAGAGGAGGTGCCCTCTGGGCTCGCCGTCGGCCTTTGCCTGTACCCCCCCCCCCCTTTCGGCCGACCGCTGGTTTCGCCGACGGCTGGTTTCGCCCGGCTGGTTTCGCCCGGGTGGTTTCGCCGCCCGGCGAAACCAGCTCCGTCGGAAAAACCAGCTACCGTGGCGAAACCAGCTGCCGTCAGCGAAACTGCCCGACCCGAACCGCCCGCTAGGATCCGCCCGCCCGACCCGACCCGCCTGTTAGGGTTCGCGCGTGCTCGGTCGAGCGCGCCCCACACTTTAATGTCCCGCCTGCCCGACCCGACCCGACCGTTAGGGCCCGCCCGACCCGACCCGACCCGACCCGACCCGCCCGCTAGCTAGGGTCCGCCCGCCCGACCCGACCCGCCCGCTCGGTCGAGCGCGCCCCACACTTTAATGTCCCGCCCGCCCGACCCGACCCACCCGTCAGGGTCCGCCCGACCCGACCCAACCCGACCCGCCCGCTAGCTAGGGTCCGCCCGCCCGACCCGACCCGCCCGTTAGGGCTCGTGCCGGCGAAACCAGCGCCGGCGAAACCAGCGCCGGCGAAACCAGCCGTGCCGCCAGCGAAACCAGCCGTCGGCGAAACCAGCACCGGCGAAACCAGCGCCGGCGAAACCAGCTCATGCCCCCTCTCGAGGCCCCCGGACCCCCGACGCCGTGCTCTTTCCATGGCGCGACCCCCAAAGGTCCGGACCCCTTCTCTGGGACCGGTGCTTCATCCTGGGTCGTCTTTTGACGGTCCCGAGGCCTTCTCTGAGATCCGACGTGACAAAAGGGAAAGCGAGGAGGAAAAGGCCTTCTCAGAAGGCGGGCGGGGCTCCTCAAAGGCCCTCGCGCCTTCCGAGGAGGAGGTCTGCGGTGTCTTTTTTTGGAGGGGGGGCTCAGCAAATTTCTCGGAAAGCCAGGGGACGTCCGAGCCTTCTGGTAGACTTGCGACGTCCTGATTTTTTCAGGACGGCGCCCCCGCAAGTCCCGACCCTTTCCCCGGGACCGGTTCTTCGTCCTGAGTCGTTTTTTGACGGTCCCGAGGCCCAGCGAGGGCCCCCAGGGGCCGAAAATTGCCAAAAACCTCCCGTCCTGGTGTTTGGTACGACGCGAGCATGTCTGGGGGGGCATCCCCGCAGTGGGAGTGCCCGGTCTCCCTGGGCGGTAGCGTTAAGTCGGGCGTGTCCCCCTGCAGGGGGATTTTCGACGAAAATTAAAAAAATTCCCCAAAAATAATCGAAAAATTATCAAAAAATAGTCGGGGGACTATTTTTTGAGCATTTTTTTTGCCTTTGGGGGGGCATTTTGGGGCTATTTTTTATTTCTCGTCGAAAATCCCCCTGTAGGGGGACACGCCCGACATAATGGTAGCATCGCGGCCTCTGCGCCGGTGCACCAGAAGCGGACCCTGAGAGCTGGGCGGCGCCGTGGTGGCCAAGCAGGGCGTCTGCGCCGCGAAGCCCCAGCCACAGGGCCGCGTGACAGGTCGATTTTGTTCCGTCCCGGCGCGTGTTCCCTCCCCAGACATGATCGCGTCGTTCCAAATGTCCCAAAATGCCCCAAAATGGCAAAAAAAAATGCTCAAAAAATAGTCCCCCGACTATTTTTTATAATTTTTTGATTATTTTTTTGGTATTTTTTAATTTTCGTCGAAAATCCCCCTGCAGGGGGACACGCCCGACTTAACGCTACCGCCCAGGGAGACCGGGCACTCCCACTGCGGGGATGCCCCCCCAGACATGCTCGCGTCGTACCAAACACCAGGACGGGAGGTTTTTGGCAATTTTCGGCCCCTGGGGGGCCTCGCCGGGCCTCGGGACCGTCAAAAAATGACTCGGCACGAAAAGCCGGTTCCGGGGAAGGGGTTGGGACTTGCGGGGACGCCGTCCTGAAAAAATCAGGACGTCGCATGTCTGGGTCGAGATCGGCTTCCGGGACCCGCCATCGGCCCCTGGGGCCGTCAGAAAGAGGTCAGGAACGCAAAGCCATCTGGGGGAAGGGGTCAGGAGCGCTGGAGCCGCAGATGGAAAAGAACGGATCGGCGGACTCTCCCCCCCACACGGCGTCCCAGGTCGGCGCCTGGCTGGAGACATCTCGGTTGGCCCAGAGGGGCAAAACTCGAGGTGAGCACAGCGAGAGCACGACGACAAGTCGGCAACCCAGACCCCCAACGTCATGTTTTTTTCATGACGCGACCCCCAGAGGTCCAGACCCATTCCCCAGGACCGGTTTTTCGTCCTGAGTCGTTTTTTGACGCTCCCGAGGCCCGGTAAGGGCCCTCCGAGGCCGAAAATGGCGAAAAACGTCCCGTCGTGATTTTTTCATGACTCGAGGGGGTCTGGGAAGTCGAGCGACCCCTCACATGCTGCCTTAGTGCACGTCACGGACACCCACGGGGTGCACTTTGGCCGACTGCGGCTGCCGCGGCCAGCTCTTGGGGGTCTGCGCCGCCACGCGCAGCCCGTTGTTCGTCTCCACTACCGCGCTCGGCGCCTCCTCCACCTGGCGCGCCCCCGCCAGCGCAAACTGCACGGCCTGCAGGTCGTCCTTGACGGGCCTGTTTTCCACCACCACCACCATAAGTTGGAGGGGGGAAGGAGGAGGAGGGCGAGGAGGAGGAGGAGGAGGACGAACAGGAGGAGGAGGAGGAGGAGGAGGAGGAGGAGGAGGAGGAGGAGGAGGAGGAGGAGGAGGAGGAGGACCCCCCCCTCCAACTTATGGTGGTGGTGGTGGAAAACACGCCCAGCAGTCCTGCGACTGAAACTGATGGCCCACCAACATCCTCTCCAGCGCCGAAAGCCCAACCGTCAACATCATCGGCGTGAAAAGCCAGAACATCGTGAATCTGAACAGGGCGGAGACCAGCCAGGCGCAGCCGTCTTCGATCGAGACGTTGGCGAGGAAGAGGATGCAATAGCAGATGCTGCCTGCCAAATCCGACACCCCGCGGGCACCGAGCGCGGAGTGTGGGCGCAGGCCCCTTGGAGTCCCCAATGTCGAACATGTCAAGCTACCTCTGAAGGCCCCCAAGAGGCCCCGACGAGGCATCCAGAGAGGCCCCCCGAGAGGCGTCCAAGAGGCAAAGCTATCCACAGACCAGGCGTGGTGGCAGGGGATGGGCCGAAGGCGACCAGATACACGGACACGAGTAAAGTGCCGAAGCACATCGTGACTATATGTCTGTCCCCAACGAATGTCATGAGCAAGTTGGCCAGGTGTGTCACCAGGAAGGTGCTGAAGACGGCAACGAGCAAGGCTCTGATCAGGTGTGTCCACGACTCCCAGGGGAAGCCTCCTCTGCAGGCGGGGTCGGAATCGTGAGAAGCTGCGCCACTCGAAGCGTAGAAAAGAGCAGATACCGCCAAGGAACCGAAGACAGACACGAGGAGTTTGTACATCCTCTGCAGCACAGGGTGTCTTTTGGAAGGCACCGTGAGCCTCAGGATAGGATGCACCGCCCACAAGTAGGGCAATGAGGACTTTCTGAAAAACGACGTCACATCCACTCTGCTCATGGTGGCGTTCCCCTTTGTGTTCTCCCCATTCGAGGATACACAGCTCTTCGTCGTGCCCCCGCGTCGCAAGCCGTGGCTTTTCAGCGTCCTCAACTTGGAGATGGTTAGCGCTCGGGCAACATCGCTGATGTCAGCATCTTCGAACTCCTCTGGATCTACACTCTCCTTCAAGACCTTCCCTATGACGACGGCCCATGTCTCTGGAAATAATAACTCCTCGCACTTGCATCTCACGCATTTGTTCACCAGCTGCTTCATATGGCCCTGATGGGTTTCAAGATCACCGGTTAGCTGATTGGTCAACTTTGCAACCTCCTTGTTCTTTCGGTAAGCCCGGCGAGTCGTGACGACCACCGCCACGTGCATGAGCAATAGGATCCAGATCATGAGCCCCCCTGGCTCGTACCACCAAGAGCCCTTGAGAACGTTGCCGACGCCCTCGGCAGAGATTATGCCCGTATTCGGACAGAGCAGGTTTAAAACTGAGGTGATGCTGAACGAGCCATGCACCGCTGTAAAAGAGGACAAGTGTGTCGTCTCGCACCAGATGCCATCTTCAGTCTCGTTCACCACCTGGACACCCATGGTGGACCAAGTGGTTTTATCGAAATCCGCGGGCCCCCTGCAAGCCTGTCAGGCTTTGAGCCATCGCCTGGGCCACCCCTATATTCTCCACCAGCCGCTGCTACGAGTCTCTGACTGCGGCCAGAGGGTGAGAATTCGAGCGTAGCAGACCGGAAGGTTTGAGTGGGGCCGGCCTGGGCTGGCGTGGCCCATCTTAATCCTTCTCCTCCGCCCCCTCCTCCTCCTCGTCCACCACTTCGTCATCATCAACATCCTCCTCCTCCTCCTCCTCCTCCTCCTCCTCCTCCTCCTCCTCACCATCATTATCATCATCATCATCATCATCATCATCGTCATCATCGTCACCATCATCATCATCATCATCATCATCATCATCATCATCAGCATCACCACCATCGTCATAATCATCATCATCATCACCATCACCATCATCATCATCATCATCATCATCATCATCATCATCATCATCATCATCATCATCATCATCATCATCATCGTCATCGTCATCGTCATCGTCCTCATCCGCATCATCATCATCCTCATCCTCATCCTCATCATCATCATCACCATCAGCATCGTCCTCATCATCGTCGTCATCATCATCGTCCTCATCCTCCTTACCATCGTCATCATCATCATCAGCATCGTCGTCGTCGTCATCATCATCATCACCCAGCGTCGCCCACTTGGGCTCAGGTTCCTCTCGGGCCCTCGAAGCCCCGGCGCTTGCGGGCCCAAGGACGCGGCCCGAGAGGCCACACCTTCCGCGTCAGCGGGCCGCCGGGGCGTTCCACCAGCTGGTCGCAGCAGACATCCGAAAGAGCGCGCCCACAGCGCCGGAGCAAAGGGGAGGAGGTCCCCCCTTTGCTGCCCCCCTCCCTTCCACTTCCCCTGCTGGAAGCTCCCCCCCCCTCCCCCCCTGTTTCGCCACCCCCCTGAAGCTACCCCCCCGTTTCTCCTTTTTCGCACCTCCGAAACAACCCCCCTCCCCCCCTTTCCAAAGGGAAAGGGGGGGTCAATCACTGTTCCCTGTTGAAAAGCACCCCCTCCCCCAGGCGACTGGTAGCCAACCAGGAACCATGAGAGCCCCCACACACACCATCCCTTGTATAAAAAAAAACTTCCAAATTCGGAACGTGCGCAACCAACCAGATGCGGCCTCCCCCCACCAGCGGCGGCGGCGGCGGTTGCGGCGGCGGCGGCGGCTGCGGCGGCTGCGGCGGCGGCGGCGGGGGCGGCGGCGGCGGCGGCGGCGGGGGTGGCGGGGACGGCGGCGGCGGCGGCGGCGGCGGCGGCAGTGGCGGCGGCGGCGGTGGCGGTGGCGGCAGCGACTGCGTTGGCAGCGGCTGCGGCGGCGGCGATTTGGCAGCGGGGGCGGCGGCGGCGGCGGCGGCGGCGGCGGAGGCGGCGGCGGCGGCGGAGGCGGCGGCGGCGGCGGCGGCGGATTGCCCCCAGTAGCTGCCCATCCAAAGACGACTGCTGAATATGCTGAGGCTCGGGCCAGACGCGGGTGCTACGTATGTGCTGGGAGGGCTCCCCCCTTTGGTTCCACAGGGGGGGGGCTTAGCAGCCCCCACCCTCCCCCCTTTCGGCACCCGGGAAACTACCCCCCCTCACTGGATTGCTTAGTGCGCAAATCCCTGAGCCCCAATATGAGTACGTCGGATCATCTCTGTTGCTGCTACACTGCTGTACATCATTCAACCTATGAACTGATACTACACTTGGTCTTAGTGAAGCCCGAGAGCACATCTGAAAAATCACTCTCATTCTGCCTTCGAGGATCTAGCTATCCAACATCTTCCAAGCTGAAGCGAAAACAACAAAGCACGAGCAGGCCGGCAGAGCGAGCCTCGTACACAGCATCGAAGCAGAACTCGACCCAGTCGCGGTCGAGGGCGCCGATCTCGGTCCAGTCGTGGCCGAAGGAGAGGAAGACATCCATCTCCAGAAATCAGCTCACGCATAGAGAATATACATATATATAAGGAGAGGGAGAGAAGAAGAAGAAAAAAGAAAGAAAGAAAAAAGGAAGAACAAAAAAAAAAAAAAAAAACTCCTTCCAAATTCGGAACATGCGCAGCCAACCAGACGCGGCCCCCCCCCACCATCCATGACACAAAAAAGTGGTACACTTGGCAGCGGCGGCGGCGGCGGTTGCGGCGGCGGCGGCGGCTGCGGCGGCTGCGGCGGCGGCGGCGGGGGTGGCGGCGGCGGCGGCGGCGGGGGCGGCGGCGGCGCGGCGGCGGCGGCGGGCGGCGGCGGCGGCGGCTGCGGCGGCGGCGGCGGCGCGGCGGCGGTGGCGGCGGCGGCAGCGGCTGCGGCGGCAGCGGCTGCGGCGGCGGCGATTTGGCAGCGGGGGCGGCGGCGGCGCCGGCGGCGCCGGCGGAGGCGGCGGCGGCGGCGGCGGAGGCGGCGGCGGCGGCGGCGGCGGATTGCCCCCAGTAGCTGCCCATCCAAAGACGACTGCTGAATATGCTGAGGCTCGGGCCAGACGCGGGTGCTACGTATGTGCTGGGAGGGCTCCCCCCTTTGGTTCCACAGGGGGGGGGCTTAGCAGCCCCCACCCTCCCCCCTTTCGGCACCCGGGAAACTACCCCCCCTCACTGGATTGCTTAGTGCGCAAATCCCCGAGCCCCAACATGAGTACGTCGGATCATCACTGTTGCTGCTACACTGCTGTACATCATTCAACCTCTGAACTGATACTACACTTGGTCTTAGTGAAGCCCGAGAGCACATCTGAAAAATCACTCTCATTCTGCCTTCGAAGATCTAGCTATCCAACATCTTCCAAGCTGAAGCGAAAACAACAAAGCACGAGCAGGCCGGCAGAGCGAGCCTCATACACAGCATCGAAACAGAACTCGACCCAGTTGCGGTCGAGGGTGCTGATCTCGGTCCGAAGGAGAGGAAGACATCCATCTCCAGAAATCAGCTCACGCATAGAAGATTTATTTATATATAGAGAGAGAGGAGAGGGAAAGGAAAGAAAAAACAAAAAAACAGAAATGCTGATGAGTTCGCTCTCAGTCATCTGCCACATGACATATTCGTCTCAACAAAGAATATCAAAACCACTCTACGTTCTCGAGGTCACTTTCTGTGAAGCTCTCCGGTCGATGCACAATTCGTTTACAGGTGGCCACTTTCTTGTTCGCTGTGACGCTGGCCACTCTGTCGTCAACATCAACATCAGCTGAGGAAAAACTCCAGGCTTCGTCAGCGCGTCGGCGAACATCATGTCTGCGGGAATGTGTATACTGTAGCGCATTCTGCCTGGCATCCGTTCTTCTTTCAGCGCCATGACTGCTAACCGTTGTTGCTTATCTCGGGCACTCCTTTCAGGCCGGCCACTAGCTCGAACATGTCCTTGCAGTCCGTCAAATGGTCGATGGGTACGCTGTACTGTCCATTCAGGTTCATGTCGATCAGAACTGCTATCTTCTGCCGCGTCGTACCTTTCAGCACAACTACCATCTCCCTCATACGCATTGCCATCATCTGAGCTCCACTCACAACTGCCAACCCGCAATTCGTCTCGCCCATCGAAATCGAGCGTGCCACCTTCTTCGCCTTGCTGCTTATGGCCATCAACATGTGACACTTGCCTGACATCGCTGCCACGTTCGCCGGAGTCAGAGCATGGTCGTCCTTGATCGTCAGATCTCTGTCCTCAATGAGAAGCGCGAGCTGGCCCTCCTGAGGACACACTGAGGTCTTCATCGCGCAATTGGCGTCGCCTATCGCTCAAGCAAAAAGGCGGTATCATCCTCGGGTAGTGCAGTCCAACCAGCGAGGTGTATTGTCGCGCTCGCTTGAGTAGTGCATTTGCTCGCTTGAGGTGGACAATCTTCGGCTCGTTGATGAATCCTTGCAGTTGCGTCACCTCTGTCATAATGTGAATGTTGCACTGGCACAAGAACAGCATCAATGCGAGAATACTCGTGAAGCCATGCGCATACTGTCCAGCCACCATCTTCTCATCATGCCCGACGGGAATCTCGCAGAAAGCTATATTTTTGAAGATGGTCGAACTGTTGCAACAATATCGTCCCGTTGGCCAATATCGCGCACTGCGCGCCGCCATGCGTAAACAGTAACTGCTGCCTCTTCACTGCCCCGAACTTGGCCTCCAGAAGCTTGATAAAGTAGGTCTGAATCCTGGCTCGAACTGCCACCAACAAGTCGTCCACGTGCATCGAAAAAGCTGCTGCAACTCCATCTGTCGCCTCCTCCTCCCCCCCATGTGCGTCACGTTCTCGGTCGGGTAAGTTGTCGTAGGTCCAGTAGACGAAGTTCTCATTCCATAGACTCACTCGCGCTCGAAGAACGTCCACCAGATACAGAGAAAGAGCAACCTGCCACAGATGTGGCACATCAACCAGTCCACACATAGGTTTGAGAAACTCCAAGATGAACATCTGGATGTCCCAGCTCTCCACGTGGATCTCGCTGCCGGACAGCATGTCCAGCAATCTCCATACACTGCTCGGTGGAAGCAGATAGACCTTCCGCACCATCTCACAGTTGATTGTGAGCTCCTTGGAGCGACGACGGATCTCGTCGAAGCTGAGGCCCTGCAGAAAGGCCGCGCTGATGTCCCAGCTCTCGAGCTCAAACTCTGGATGCGTCTGCGCCGTCGAGACAATGAATGCATGGCTGAGCCTGCTGGCAGCACTCGAGTGTCGCTGTTTGTCCAGGAAACCTCGCCCGCGCAATCTGTTCTTCACAGCCCACTCCCTGGACTTCGCGTCGCACTTCCACTTCCTGGCCCACACGGCGTCGATAACGCGCGTGCTCGAGAGAGATCGCCTGGCTCGACAGGCAAATACCCCGCGGTCAACGAAGGCCGCCAACTCCCTCAAGTCTGCCTCTTCGACCTTCTCCCAGTGCATCAGGATGTCCTCTTCGGTCAACGCGCCCGACTCCTCGGCTCCGGCACGACACTGCACTTCGCCCGTTCGAAGACAAAAGAGAAAGCAGCTGCTCCGTCGCCAAGGGCCTTTGAATGTCCAAAGAGCTTCAGTTACGTTC